CCCCATGGTCATTCCTAACAATAATCCTGTGGGTATGGTACCAGTTTTGTAATCTAATAAAGCATAACGCTTCCTTGGAAACGTGTGTGGAGATTTACTTGCTGCTGAACTTGGCAGCTGGGAGCAGGGGGTGGGGCTTGTTGCATGTGCCCGCCCCCTGGGCTCCTTACTGCCGGAACTCCGCTCCTGTGCACTCCCGCAGGAAATGACCCCTGTGCAGTAGCCAAATCACTCGCTCACAACTTTAATGCCAGTAGCTCACAAATTTGAATTTTTGCTCACGAGACTCCACAAATTAGAGGGAGCATTGGTGGTCTCCCATCTAAAGTCTAGCGAGGGCTGACCCTGCTTAGCTCCCAAGATCTGATGAGATCGGGCAAATACTGGTTTTTTGTCTCTTTTGTTCGATGGTGATTGTGAATGTGGCTCTCTGCAAGCCATGGAGTGAGTACTATCGATGTTAAACAAGACACCAAAATTTACTGCAATGAGCTGGAAAAGGCTGTTTGGAAATGATTCAACTATGATAACTATATCAAGGCATGCAGGGTTCAGCTTTCTGACTGGAAATACTAATCTTTGTCACAAAGACTGGGTCAAACTAAATAGGACAACAGGAAATCCGCCTGCTATACTGCAGCCACATGTTCAGATCAGACCAGAGTTAAAGTCTTTACCCTTCGCTGTTTTTGTGCTCTGAATCCACCCGGCAGTTATTGTTTGCCCTGCTGGGGGAAACCCACACTATGTTTTCCTTGTGAAGCAGATAACAGCCTTGCGGGAGGGTGTGTCTAGTTCAGGATATAAAATGCCAAGAGAGATCACCTCCTTTTCCACATGGCCCCAGACCAGTTGAAAGAATAACAGGGATCCCCTCACCGATCTCCTACCACCAAGTGTAATTTTGCCCACAAACTCGCAGATTGGTTTTTTCGTGTCCTAATTGATCGCTCGTCATTATTTCTTCAGGCCCAAGTACTTTGGGGAACGTTGTGGAGGATGTTACGCACCCCTGTAACCCAAATCCTTGTGCTGCCAATCAGCTGTGTGAAGTCAACCGAAAAGGGTGTCAGCCTGGGGAACCCTGCCTGCCTTATATTTGTGTGCAAGGTAGGTCTTGCAATTATTTCCCAGTTATTAAAAATGCTGGTTCGATTCTGGAAAGGCAATGCCGTGCAGAGTTGTTACTGCTGAATGTGGTTTTGGTTTTATGTTCAAGCCTGTTAGATCTTCAGGCAGAATGTGGAAGGCTAAGTGGCAGGAAAGGTCATTTTTTACAGTATTGTTTTCTTTATTTGCAAAATCTGTGTCCTTACAAGGGCCACCAAGGTAGCTAACATTTTAAAACATACATAATAAAACCACATCTTAAAACCATTAGTCATCCAACAGTCAACCAATAGTGATCTTTGTTATAATCTGCAAGACCTGAGATGTCTATGGAATGTGTATTTAATGGAGCAACACGTCGTCTTCAACTAGGCTGCAAGTTGGGTGAAGCTTCTGATTTCATCGTCCGCCAAGGCACACTCATCCAGGTTCCATCCTCGGCAGATGTCGGCTGCTATAAAATCTGCACGTGTGGTCAGAGTGGACTGCTGGAGAACTGTATGGAGATGCACTGTGTCGATCTCCAGAAGTCTTGCATTGTTGGGGGGCAGAGAAAAAGTAAGTACTACTACCTGTCGTATTTATTTACATCATTTACATCCCACTGTTCTCCCCAGTGGGGGCCCAAAGTGGCTTACACCATTTGCTCGTCTCCAGTTTATCCTTACAACAGTGCTGCGAGGTAGTCTAGGCGAGAAGTGTGTGACTGGCCCAGGGTCATCCACAGTTTATCCTTACAACAGTGCTGCGAGGTAGCCTAGCCGAGAAGTGTGTGACTGGCCCAGGGTCAGCCACAAAGCTTCCACGGCAGGGTGGGGATTTGAACCTGGACCCCCCGAATCCTAGTCCGACACTCCTCATCTGCCACATGTCACTGCCTCTCTCTTATACCCTGTGAAGTCCAGAGATGACCCCCCGAATCCTAGTCCGACACTCCTCGTCTGCCTCATGTCACTGTCTCTCTCTTTCTTATATCCTGTGAAGTCCAAAGACTTAGATTTTTGGAAAAGGCAAAGACAATGACTCGTGGATCCGTTCAGTGCAGGATCTTACGATTCTTGCCAGGTTTCAAATCAGATTCTCCATACCTAGCAGATAAAAGTTGAGGTTCTGCAAAACCCCTGCATAGAAGTAAGTTCTGCGTAAACAAGCAAGTCTTTGCTTCTGTGTTTACCTTCTTCAGTGTCAGCTTGATTTTAATAGGGTTCAGTTATTTGTGTGTGTTTATTGATATAGATGAAAATCACAGAGATTTAAAGAGTTTAAGCTGTTCAAAACAAAAAGTGTATAGGTTTACAAGATTATGCATGGGATGGAGCAGGTAGAGAAAGAAGTACTTTTCTCCCTTTCTCACAATACAAGAACTCGGTGGGCACTCAATGAAATTGCTGAGCGGTCGGGTTAGAACAGATAAAAGGAAGTACTTCTTCACCCAAAGAGTGATTAGCACATGGAACTGACTGCCACAGGAGGTGGTGGTGGTGGCTACAAGCATGGACGGCTTCAAGAGGTCATTTGATCAACAAATGGAGCAGAGGTGTGGCTATTAGCCACAAGGTATAGATAGGAACTCTCGGTCTGGGGCAAGTGATGCACAGTATTCTTGGTGCTTGGGGGGGGGCAACAGTGGGAGGGCTTCTATTGTCCTGCCCCCACTGGTGGACCTCCTGATGGCACCTGGTATTTTTGGCAACTGTGTGACAGCGTATTGGACTGGATGGGCCATTGGCCTGATCCAACATTGGCTTCTCTTATGTGTTTATGTTCTTATGTGGGTTCTATTTCAGAGAGATAGGTGAATATGATTATATCTAGCTTGATTCCTTTTATTGCAGTCATTGGGATCTATCTCATTTAGCCATACAAAATTCTGTATAAAATGTTCAGTATAGCTGTATAAAATGTTCTTACATTTGTTTCTTGGGTCAAGAGTCTGTAGGATTGATACATCTGTGTATATATGCATTTTAAAATAAAGAGACACATTAATGCCTTTATTCTTATGTTAAGGTCATGGAACGTTTTTCACTATAGATTGCAATGTCTGTTCATGTTTTGCTGGAAATTTGATATGCTCCACTCGGCAGTGTCTAAATGAACACAGCTCAGATGAGGAGCGTCACATGTTTACAGGTAGTGTTTTCAAATCTGTATGAAACCTTTGAAGTTCATTGTTAATAACAGTGCCATGGTAAATGTATTAACATTGTAGGGCCCCCAGCTGTGCCAGATATTCTCTCTGATAACTGTTGTCTGTTTTTCGTTCGGTTGGCTGATGCCAAACAACAGTGCCCAAGATTTATTACAATGGTCTGTAATAAACAGTCCCATGTAGAGTTTAGCACAAAGCAAACCCCACAATTCTAAGGGGAACTGAACTATAAGAATATAGCACCTATTGTAACATGTTTAGAAAAGAAGGACCATAATTCTACAAGGAACTAAGTATGCTTAAACCGGTTGATTCAATTCCCCGTTGTTAATTCCTTTGGCTTAAATGTGTTTAACTTAGTATCAGCTTGTGAACCACTCATAACCAAGGAGTATTGCTGCCTGGCATTTGCTACAGCTCCTGTAGGAACCTTGAATTCCAGCCATGCGCATGAACCTGCAAGTTCCCAAACAGATTTTCCTCTTTCAGGTCTGCCGTGTAACTGTGCCGATCAGTTTGTCCCTGTGTGTGGGCAGAATGGACGCACTTATCCCAGTGCCTGCATAGCACGTTGTGTTGGGCTTCAGGACAATCAGTTTGAGTTTGGATCCTGTATGTCTAAGGATCCCTGCAACCCTAGCCCCTGCCTCAGGAATCAGAGGTAAACATTTAACATATTTAAGAGTAATATTGGAGGATCAATTCATAGATTACTGGGCAAAAGAACAATAGATTGTACAGAGCCTAATTGTAATTATGTGCTATTAATGGAAAGGAATGGACTAGAACTAGTTATCATTGACGGTTTTAGTGAATATAAAGAATCACATTTCTTTCCTTCCACTTCTTGAATGTTGTTGAATGTTGGGTCCCTGGAGTAAAAATCACTAGAGAGGACTTTTAAAACCAAGTTTTCAGGAAAAATGCTTTTTAGTGTCCTGATTACTCATTATAATTTAGGCCCAAGTACTTTTGGTAACATTTGAGAACTGCTGGTCTTATGTGAAAAAGAATGATTTTTTGTTGAAGTCCAGTAGCACCTTAAAATATGTGGCAGGGGTATGAGCTTTCATGAGTCGCTGCTCACTTCTTCAGATCTTACTGCTACGGACAGACTAACGTGGCTACCCATCTGGATTTTTGTTAAAAGTTTCTGAAATACGTTTCTTCCCTTGTAGGCAGGAAGGTGTGCATGTATATATATGTAGAAAGGGAGAGGCAGGAAGTCTTACATTCAGGTACTGAGAAGACAGTGCTGAATAGGGCTGCCAAGAGCCACCACAGGCCCCCAGACAAATATCGTAATAAAAACAAATCACTTGGCTGCAGTGTTCTCTCTAAGCTGAGTTAGTTCCCTCTAAGCTGAGTTAGTTTGTAAGCCTCCGGCTCACACATTTTTGTCTTAGCTCAGGAAGGAGGGCTCCAGAGCAAACGAATTTATGCAGTAGACAAATTGCTCGCTCATAACTTTAATGCCAGTAGCTCACAAAGCAGAATTTTTGCTCACAAGACTCTGCAGCTTAGAGGGAGTATTGCTTGGCTGGCTATTAGCATGTATCTATAATAATAAAAGGATCCACATGCCCATCTGTCCATTTGTGGCAGGCATGACTCGTCAGAAAATAAAACTAGGAACCTCCAAATTGGCCACCAACTTCAGGATGATCATGAGAGATCCAGGGCCAAAAATGAAAGGAACTGGAATATCTTGACCCAGGTTATCTCCAGACACCCCCCCTCCCAATGCTATTTGCAGTAGAAGCTAATTATTGCATCAAAATGTCTGTGCTGTTGCAATCTTGAGTACGCTGTTCAAGCGTGTATCTGTAAGCTGCAAACCTATTTTTGATTTATTGACATTCACCACAGAAATCTCATGCTCAGGGTTCTTGAGTCTGGGACCCAGGTTAAAACTTGAAATGGCTGAGCGAGTGAGAGAGTCTGGCAAAGCAAGCTATGATTCAGCAGCGGCAGAACTGGAAGCAGGAGATGGCCAGTTCCACTGCGGGCCTGATGGAAGCCCTCCGGGGGCCTGTTCCGGTCCCCCGGGCTGCATGTTTGACACCCCTGCCCCAGTGCATTCCCTGAAAGCAGCATGACACAGACTTCAGCTGACCCTTCCCCTGATTTTGTCCTCCCAGTCCCCCCCCCCCAGTGACCCTGGTGCTGAAAGGCCATTTCTTGTAAGACGGAGCTCACACCAGAAGCTCCTTGTCACATTTTCTGCCTTCAATGGGGAGTCAGGGTTTCTGTGGAGCCTTTGAAGCTTTATTTTTTACAAGCCAAAGAAAGAAAGATAACAGAAAACACTATATTGACAAAGATGTTTCACTGTAGAATGAATTATGTCCGTTCCAGGCTAAATGACTAGCATGGAGGCAACTTGAGAGTTAGATTTGCAGTGGGTGGTTTCCCCTCTGTTTATAGTGCTGCTGCCCTGTGACAGTGATGGAAGAGTCTGCCTCACGGGAAGTGACCTTTCAGCCTCTTCCTCCCAGCCCAGCGGCAGGAACTAACCTCCTGCTTGCAAGAACAGAAATTTGCCAAATAAAAAAATCGCTTTTATGCAGTTCTTGCCTTTCTTTTGCACTTGCAACACAACTGGATACCAACTGATACAACATTTTTGGTAAATGTATTTTGTACAGTTCTTGGAAGCCAGGGCTAACTTCTTTTTATAAAATTATCTTAATATTTGCTTTGTTATCCTCTCTTTTTTTTTGAAGCAATAACATAAATTATATGAGAATGTTGTTTTGTCCAGATGTATACCAAAACCACAGGTTTGCTTAACCAGTTTCAAGAAATTTGGATGTAACCAGTATGAATGTGTGCCGAGACAGTTCCATTGCGGTGACCAGTTACAAGAACCTGTTTGTGACACAGACAATATAGAATATAACAATCCGTGTACTTTACACCAAAAAGGGAAGAGTATATCGTACAAAGGTCCATGTCAGGTATGGAGCCATTTTGCAAATGTATTTCAAGATACCAGCCTGTGATGTTTATTTTTCCTCTGCCGACAGCTGGCACCATCCAAAAACATTCTCCAGTGCCGTTTATGTGAACTCAAACAGGTGGGAGAGTGTGGGCCTCTAGGAAGGGGTGGTGGTTTGCCCTGATCTGGACTGTGCCGCCTGAGCAGAGCCTGCCGGTCACGGTGGAGAAGGGCAGTCCCCAGAAGGCTTTTGGGTGCAGGAAGTGCTTTGTCACGTGTGCCATTTCCCAGGCACTCCATTCTAATTCTGGTTTTTGTAAGAATAGTTATATATATTACACAAGAAGAAGGTAAATTGATTTCTGTTCGAGTGTCCTACTGAGTTCAGACTATGGTCTGCTTGCAGAAATAATAGGCACAGGCGTATATGTCATGATATACTCGCAGTGCACTGGCAAAGTTGGATGGGCAAACTTGACCTCTTTCTATCCTTACGTTGTACTGTGAGAGGGTGCAACTGGCTCAGGAGGTGCACAGGTTGAAAGGAGGTGGGTTTGCCTCCCCCTCCCTTCAGATCCCTCTGCAGAGACACGGAATGTGTCTCTCAGCTGGTGAAGGAGCTCTAACTCTTTTCATACTGCGTGATCTTCTGCAGTCTAAATGTTTTTATTCAGTTTCCCCCTTCTGTTTGTTAAAATCTTAATTGAAAACCTACTCAGAATTTGAGAAGAGCATCTGTCCGCTGTCCTAATAGTTGTGCACAGTAGCAGGAAGGAAGCATTCTGTCAAGCCCCTCTCCCAGAAGGCAGCTATAGTCACGTGGCTGTTTGGCTGTTCTTGTTCCCTGCTTCCCCTGAAGCACAGATCTCTCCTGGACGTTCTTGTTCATAAAACAGGTCTTTGAACTGAAACAAATAAGCAGAAGCCCTATGAAGGTGTATTTATGATTTTATTAAGTGATTTTGTTGATTGTGCTGCTAGCAGTTTTGAACTGTTCCGCAGTATGTAGGTATAAATGGTTTCAAATATTCAGTTGCTGGGATTGTGCCGTTTCTGATGGTAGGTAAGAAATCTGGTTTGAATTCCTCTGCACATAAAACACTTTCCACACGGGCAAAATTAGCATCTCTTTTCTGAGACATCAGAGTGACCTTAGGACTTTCGCCTTGAGTTGTCAGCTGTGTTTACGTAGGGCGAATTTTCTGTGGGGGAGCCTTCACGCACCTGATTTCTCACCTGCGGTCTGAAATGGTACAGCCAGCCAGTGCATACTTATAATAATGTTGATTGTGTCGTCTGTTTTCTCTCTGAGGTGTTTCCTGTTATGAGTGGTTCTTCCTTGAATCAACGTGCAGCCAAGTCAAGGGGCCAGTTGTGGCACCTCACAGTGTACCTAGTCAAAAACAAAGATTTGTATCCTGCTTGTATGTTCTGGGGTACATATCTGCTAATTTTGTGATGTGGCGGTGGCATTAAGAGTCATGCTAGTGAGAGGAAAGATGGTTGGTAGTTTTCAACTAAAAGCAGCTCGATATGAACAGAAAAAGAGCCCTGCTGGATCGAACCAGTGGTCCGCATAGTCTGTCATTCTGTTCCACACAGTGGCCAACCAGTTTTCCCAGCGGGTTTCCTTCAGAGTTTTACTGCCTGGATGTGGAAGTTCACATTGGTCATCATGGCTAGTGTCCACTAATGGACCTCTTCTCCACAAAATTTGTCTAATCCCCTTTTAAAGCTGTCTTGTGTCGACAGAAATCACTATCTCTGTAGGCAGTGAATTCTGCAATTTAATTGCACATTGAATAGGGAAGTACTTCCTTACCCAGAAAGGAATTAAATTATGGAGTTTCACTGCCCATGGACATAGCGATGCCTGCAAGGAGGACATATGCAGAGCGATTTCGGTGGCTTTACCATTCTTTCAGTCCGGTATCACTTGAAACTTTGGTCTTACGCAACCATCACTTTTAAACTTGAGATACTGTGACTTTCATCAGTCACAATATCTCAAGTTTATGTGGCCTCATTCATTTCTGTCAGTGGTCAGTATCACACTGTTGCTATTTTCTGTTCTTGTTTCAGTCCTTCTGCAAATCAGTAGAAGTGGTGTGTGGCCAGAACGGCGAAAGCTACAACAGCGTCTGTGCCGCCTATTCTGACCGCGTGGCTGTCGATTACTATGGACCCTGCCAGGCTGTGGGAGCCCTTTCCCATTACAGCTCTCAAGGGGAATGCGTGTCTGTTCAGTGTCCTCCCCTTTCAGCCACCGGATGCAAGCCGGTGCTCCCACCCGGTGAGCACATTGATCTTTACTAAAACTAAACTTAGTTATGTGAACATCTAAAAGTTACTGTCAGTTAGCACTTGGATTGGGCGTGCTGGAAAGGAGCTTTAGGCCTTCTTTACAGATATTAAGTTTACCAGTGGGGGACCTGGTGTTAATACCTGGTAAGTGTGTCTGCAGGTTTGTGGCCCCGCTTTCCAGTGCAGTCTTCTCTTGCTATGGAAGAATAAGTTGGCAGATCTGGAGATAATAGTTGTTAACATTTTTGTCCATTTGTAGGTAACACCTGCAGTGGCACCTCTCTGTAGGTGTTCTGAGGTGACGTGTGTTACGCGGCTTCCTTGCCTGCCTTAGCATTTTCTACTTATTTTTGCCGCCACCAAAGGCTCTCGCCTTACAATTCTCAGTTGGATCCAAAGAAAAGAACAATTTGGTTATATTTGGTAAAGTGACGGAACTGTCCACATATGGGGGTGGCTCTGAGGTAAACAGGGACCCTGTCCTCTAAATAAAACAGTTGTTTTCCTCTTAAACACAAAGTTTATTTAGAAGTATAACAGTTTCAGTAAAGTTCACAAGCATGTTGATAGGTACAGTCAGGTGGACAGCCATGTTGGTCTGAAGGAAGAGAACAACGTTTGAGTCCAGTGGTGCCTTGAAGACTTCTGTGTGTGTGCCCACGAAAGCTTATACCCGGAATTAAACTCTGTTGGTCTTAAAGGTGCCGCCGGACTCAAACTTTGTGCAAATAGACATAGTTCTTCTTTTTCTAAAGTTCCTTAAATGGATCTAGCCACAAACTTAGTTTCTTCACTTGCCACTTCGGCTAATAACTCCCACAAAGAACACAGATGTCTCTCACATTCCATAGCCCCTCCTGTCAGAGCCCCTTCCCACGCACACGGAACAAACTCTCCCACACAGAACCTCTCTCTCCAAACCAGTCACCTCTACCCCCTCGGGTCCAGCTACCATCCAGCCCTAGCGCACTTCAATCACCCATCCAGCCTCCCTCTTTCTTACTCTAGAGGTCTGCTTTTTAAACTACAGCAACACACATATAGAACCCCACATTAAATCATGGAAATAGAACACATGCAGCATATTTACATAGCAAGACACCACAGTCTGCTTGTGGTAGGGTTGCCTGGTGCTGTGTAAATCCCAGGGGTTTAGTCTCATCAGGTAGAAAAGGATTAACTTATTTTCCACCTCATAAGACAGGGAGGCGACTGAATGTTTATATTAAGTCTATTAAGGCACAGTAAAGTTGCCTTAGAAAGGAAAGCACCAGTTTCCATCTCACTGCAGCAGGTTGCCCTCCCTCACCCTTGGAGTCTGAGACAGAAGAGGGAGAGCTCTCAGGAGAGGTCCTCCCTCCACACACACACACCCCACAGGAAACTCTTCAAAGCTGAAACTTTCCACATCCTTCTCAGAGGCCAACAGTTGATTTCAAAGGCTGCGGAAAGGTTGTTCTCTGATGCATGTTATAGTTAAGCTCTGTAATAAACACGTGGGAAAATGTATACTGCAAAAACGGGGAGGGGATTCAGGACTAAGGAGAGAGGAAGATATTTGCGGTCGTATCTGGAATCAAGCCGTGAACCTGTGTCAGGTTGCTGGAAAGTTCCTTGAAGGTCGTAACTAGACAGTGAATTAACTTGGAAGATGGGAAGATCAACTCGGTGGATCCTAGGTGTTAGGCAGGTGGCCAGGTTAAGGTGGATCTTGTGCATAAAGGGGTGTCAGGGCTCTCACGTTCAGGAATTTTGGAAGCAAATGCCTGTTGAAATCTACCGAGTAGAAACTGATACACCTATGAGCTGGTTGGTAATTTGCACGTGATTGAGGATGATGTATTAACTTTTGTAGACTTATATGTCTATTTTAGAAGTAATTACATGCAAAAGGCCATCTGTACTACACTCTGCACCTGTACGGCATGGATGATTTCCCTAAAAACCTACCCTGCAGGGCTTAAAAATTTTCACTGTCACCCCAGGCCTTGAGCCTGCCATCCCTTTCCCCTCATTATTCCAAGGGACACTGGATCAAGAAGGCTGCAACCCCACCAGAGCTGGGTTTCCAAGCAGCTTGGTAAGAAGGTTTTGCTCCCCCATCCCACCCCAGCCTGTGAGACTGTGGTATAGCACTCAGAAGGTCCCGGGCACGATCCTCGGCATCCCCAGTTAAAAAGGACCAAGCAGTAGGTGATGTGAAGGACCTCAGCCTGAGACCCTGGAGAGTAGCTGGTGGTCTGAATAGACAATACTGACTTCGACGGACCAAGAGTCTGATTCAGTACAAGGCAGCTTCATGTGTTCACGTGTCCTGGGCACTTCCCGGTAATCCCCCCGCAGCTGCCCCAGTGGCCTCCTGGTCCTTGACGCTGGGGATCACAAGAGCGAGTCTGCCCAGAGCGTTTGGGGCATCTGGCCTACTGCCATGTTGGCAGAGGCCTGTGACTTCCTTTCTGAGGTCCTAGACAAAAACAAGCAGTTTCGGGAATATCTTGACAAAACTCGACAGAGCTGCAGGGTTCCGCTCATGCTTAGCCTGATCTGTGACATGAGAAAGGATCCTGTGCTGCAGTCTCTGGTCAGAAGGACAGGGCAGTGGGTTGTGTGGATGTCATCACGGTCCTCAACCAAGTCAGAAATGACCCCCCCCCCCCCGGTCTCTCTTTCTCTCATGCAGGAGCCTGCTGTCCTTTGTGTGCTGGGATGTTGAGGGTCCTGTATGATAAAGACAAGCTGGACACCTTTGCCAAGGTGAGGAGCTCTGTTTTCTTTGCAAAGATGTTAATTCAATCCACTCCTTACATGTGCACAGATATTAAGAGGAACAGTGCGCTGGTGTGTGTATGAATACAGACTACCTTTTGGCAGGTGATAACTATGAGCAGCAGTTCCAGAATAAACAAGTAAAGGCCCTGCGCATACAGAATTCTCTTTGTGCTGTCAGAGCTCTTAGATTGCAGCCGGGGTGTGCTGTTCAGAGTGAACGTAGTGATTTCACCCATTTGTGCTTCGGTGTGTTGTGCCTGCAACCCCTTGATTATGTCTGTGGTCTGCCAGACGGTGAAGAGAATTTTATTGTGCCCTGCATTTTTGGGGAGTATTTGTGTGTGTGTGTGTGCCTGGAAGTCATGGTTGACTTCTGGCAACCTCTAGTGGGGCTTGGACATTTCAGAGAGGTGGCTTGCTATCGCCTACCTCTGCATCCCAGCCCTGGTATTCCTTGGAGGTCTCCCATCCAAGTACTTGCCAGGGTTGTCCCTGCTTAGTTTCCGAGATCTGACGGGATCGGGCTTGCCTGGGCTATCCAGGTCAGGGCGCATCCTTAGTGCTTTGATCAGGTCCAGAGGTGTCAGAAAGCTGTGCTCATCACCTGAGAAATCTCTTTTTAGATTTTTTCAAATGAGGTATTTCTTTACTTACTGTTAACTCTTCACTTCTGTGATGCAGAAAAATCACTTTGTAAAATGTCATAAATCCTAAAGAGACTTTAAACTTCTTACAGCTCAACAGCAAAAGACCAATCACTGTGCTTGAAATCCTTCAAAAAATCCGTCTCCACGTCTCTGTGCCACAGTGTGACGTATTTGGATACTTCAGCATAGAATCTGAGATCGTGATTCTTATCGTACCTGTTGATCAAAACCCCAAGCCCCTTCAGGTATCATTTGTTGTGCAGTTCTTTGCATGTAGTTTCATATACTTTGTTAAATGTAAGTATCTTCTATTTCCTACTGAAACAATTTTTTGAAAATTGTAAATTTGAGTTAAGAACATAAGAGAAGCTGTACTGGATCAGGCCAGTGACCCATGATTCAGTCCAGCACTCTGTGTCACAGAATGGCCAAAACCCAGGTGTCATCAGGAGGCCCACCTGTAGGGCCAGAATTCCAGAAGCCCTCCATGGCACTGTGGCTCCCCAGGCACCGAGAATACACAGCATCACTGCCCCAGACAGAGGGTTTCATATGTTTATCCAATCCCCTCTTGAAGTTGTCTATGCTTGTAGCTGCCACCACTTCCTGTGGCAGTGAATAATTCCACATATTAATTATTCTTTGGGTGACAAAGTACTTCCTTTTATCTATTCTAAACTACTGCTCATCAATTTCATTGAGTGCCCACGAGTTCTTGTATTGTGAGAAAGGGAGAAAAGTACTTCTTTCTCTACTTTCTCTATCCCATGCATAATCTTATAAACCTCGATCATGTCACCCCTCAGTCGTCGTTTCTCCAAGCTAAAGAGCCCTAACCTCTTCAACCTTTCTTCATAGGGAAAGCATTCATTTTAGTTGCCCATTTTTGCACCTTTTCCAGTGCTTTGTTGTTGTTGTTCAGTCGCACAGTCAAGTCCGACTCTTCGCGGCCCCATGGACCAGATCACGCCAGGCCCTCCTGTCTTCCGCCGTCCTCTGAAGTTGGCTCAGTTTCATGTTCGTTGCATCTATGACACTGTCTAACCATCTCATCCTTTGCCGTCCCCTTCTTCTTTGACCTTCAGTCTTTCCCAGCATTGGGGTCTTCTCCAGGGAGTGCTCCCTTCTCATTGGGTGGCCAAAGTATTTGAGCTCCAGCTTCATTATCTGGCCTTCCAGGGAACAGTCAGGGTTGATTTCTTTTAGGATTCCAATTTTATTTTAGGATTCCAATGCTATAATATCTTTCTTGAGGTGTGGTGACCAGAACTGTACACAGTATTCCAAATGAGGTTGCAACATCGATTTATACAGGGGCATTATGATACTGGCTGATTTGTTTTCAGTTCCCTTCTTAATAATCCCCAGAATCGCATTTGCCTTTTTTATTGCACTTCCACATTGAGTCAACATTTTCCATAAGTTATCTATCATGACTCCAAGATCTCCTGGTCAGTTACTGCCAGTTTGGACCCCATCAACATGTATTTATAGTTGGCTCCAATGTGCCTTACTTTGCACTTGCCCACATTGAACCTCATTTCTCACGTTGATGCCCACTCATCCTGCCTTGACTGATCCCTCTGGAGCACCTCACAGTCCTCCCTGGTTTTCACCATCCTGAACAACTTAGTGTCATCTGAAAACTTAGCCACTTCACTGTTTACGCCGAACTCCAAATCATTAATGTTTAAAAGCACCAGATCTAGTGTCTCTGGTACTTTAAAAAAATATGGCTGGATCTTCTTCATGGGATTATGCACCTGTGCTGATCCGAATCGGTGGTATGCAAAGCTCACAAAGGGATTTTCGCGCCTCCCTCCCAGGCACGCACAGGAACCCCACTGCGCATGCCCAAGGAGGCGGGGCGCGGACATCCCGCCAGTTCTCTTCTGACCGCCATGCTGTTAACAGCTGTTTTTGCCGGTTGGTGAAGAAGTATTTCTTTCTCTCACGAGGGATTTCTAATCCGTTTTTCTTTCTTCTTTTTCATTTTTTCTTTACTTTAAAGACTTAAGATTTTTTTTTTTTGAGGGTTGCCGTTACCTCACGGCTTGCTTTCCCCCCCCCCCCGGCAAATTTTCTTCACCTTACCTGAGGGCTCCTTTCTTTTTGTGCTCTTCTGTATTTTTATGGCCAAAATGTGGGGGTGTTTTAAACGGTGTGTCGGCTGCGGCAGTAAACTTGCCCCCCGTGACAGCCACGCACTTTGTATTCTCTGCCTTGGAGAAACCCATTGTCCAGAGACTTGTCGCCATTGCTCGAAGTTCTCCAATCAGACCCATAAAAACAGGGCCACGAGACTTCGGGTGGCACTTTGCAGGATGCAGGATGGAATCCCACTGATTATCCTCATACCACTAAGTTTCTGAAATGCCCACAGTGCATTCTTCTCTGACATGAAGCATTTCAGCTCACCCATTTTACCTCAGACATTTCTAGCATTTTTATATAAACATCAGTAACAATTACCCCTTCGTCTCTTAGAGATGAGCCATCCTGAACCAGAGACATTTCTTCTCCTGTCTGCTTTCCCCCAAGAGTGGGACACGTCTAACAAGTCCCCGAGAGCTTTATCCATGTGCCTGACTGTCTCTGCTTCTCCAGGCCAGCCACCTTGGCCTCGAGGGTGCGAACTTGTTCCCTGAGAACCAGGAGCTCCTTTCACTGAGCACACAGCCATGACTTCTGTCCATATGGCAGAAACATGTGACACTCAGTGCAATACACTGGATAGCCCCCAACCCCCTGCTGGCATTCTACCTTCATAATTGCCTTTTTATTATTTGATTTTTTAATCACCCTTTTTTATAAAACTTCCGATTTATGTAGGTTTGTTTGTGGAAAGTGTGCTTAACCTTTTAGGAATGTGGTGCGACTAGTGCCCTGGCTTCCCCACCCTGCTGCGGAACTCGCACATCTGCTAAACTCTCCTGTTTATTCCCTCATTCCAGACTCTTGGTCACTAGAGCAGGGCCTGCCACCTCATTCTTGGGAATTCTAGTTGGCTCAAATTGTGGCAAAATGTATTGGAATAAAATGATTAATATTGCTTTAGAGGGTGGAAAAGAAATGGCCCTCAAGGGGCATTCTCCGACCTTCAGGAGAGGATCTGTAGTGCCCGGGGAAAACTCTTGCCTAACGTTCCAGGGGGAGGGGCCTCCGTAGTCTTGCAGGCGGATCTGGAAAGAGCAACAGATATCCCATAAATCTACAGACTAATAACGAGAACACCAAAACACAAAGCAAGGCTAAGTATTCAACAGGGAGAAGGAAGACAAAAAGGATCAGGCTGGGTTCCCTGTGCCTTGAGGCAAACCAGCGTCCCCCTAAACTCAAGGGGTATGGGAGAATGCCCTCTGTGAACCGTGCAGCACAGGAATCCGTAGCAAGAGATTTCCTTGTCTCTCCTGGCTCCTGGGAGGCCTTCTCGGATCTTTAGGGTACAAAAAAGGTGCTGTCTTCAGATGGGGAATAAACAGGTTGCTTACCTGTAACTGATGATCTTCGAGTGGTCATCTGTGCTTCACACCCGTGGGATCTAGTGCACACGTGCTGGATCGATCAGCATTGTAGCAAGCTCTTAACGGATTTTCGCGGCCAGACCTCGGGCATGCGCAGGAACCCCACCACGCATGCCCAGAGGGGTGCGCACGGACATCCCGCCAGTTTCTTCGAACCGCCACGAATCAACCCCTATGGAAAATGTAGAAGCTGACAGCAGCGGGGAAGGAGGGCGGGTGGTGTGAATGCACAGATGACCACTCGAAGATCATCAGTTACAGGTAAGCAACCTGTTTATCTTCGACGTGGTCTCTGTGCTTCACACCCATGGGTGAGCAGTGGCCTACCTAGAGGAGGATGCTGGCAGGTCCTTACTGTGTAGCTGAAGACAAGATGCGACGTCCCATGTTGGTACTAGAGTTCTTACGGCCGTCTAGGGCATAGCGCCTTATAAATGTGTTAGGCGTAGCCCACGTAGCGGCTTTGCAAATGTCCGTTAACAGAACTCCCTGGAGGAAGGCAGTTGAGGCTGCAACAGCTCAGGTTGAATGGGCCTGATAGGGCCAGGCAATGGCTTTTTGGCGATCAGGTAGCAGAGGCGGATGAGCCCCGCAATCCACTTTGAGAGGCGCTGAGCCGTGATGCGAGTCCCCAGTCTTGCTGGTGCATAGGAGACGAACAGTTGGGAGTCACATCTCGTTGGGCAGATTCTGCTCAGGTAGAACAGGAGCGCACGTTTCACATCCAAGGTGTGTAACAATCTGTCCTCTGATGATGTCAGAGCCGGGAAGAAATCTGGGAGGAAGACCTCTGCCTGTAGGTGGAATTCTGACACTACCTTTGGCAGGAACGAGATCTCGGGTACGAGGCGGACACCGTCTGGCAAAAAGGACAAGTATGGCGTGTCATGTCTGAAAGCCAGT